GTTTTTGTTTAATTCAATGAATTTAATATATATTAACAATCATAGCGTTATAGAGTTCGTATTTTTATTCAAGTATATATCAATAAGAATTGAGTTTCGTAGAGGTCGCAGTTTCAACATGGAGTTGTGTTTAAGAGATTTACCAAAAGTTCATGATTTGGATAGTGATGAAAAGGTTACAGTTACTTCAGAAGTACATCTGAGAACTGTTGATGTCGGAGAAAGATTGAATGTCTGTAAAGATGAGAAATTGTCCTCCCGAAAAGAAGTTACATCTAGTGTAAATACGGAAGAAGCAGAAACTTGTAATGTAGAGATTGAGCGTGATGTTATTGCTAATAATATTAATACTAGCAGTACTACTGCTAGTACTAGTTGCAATAGTATAAATATTACAAATGCTAGTAACGGCAAGGCTAATGCTAATGTAAACTTTACAGAATATACCAGTAGTACAAACTGTCAGCCTTATGAAGTTGTTACTGAAACTGAAAGATCTGATAGTAAATGTGTAACGGGCATTAATACTAGTAATAGTACTGTTAGTGTTACCGTTACTACTACCACTGCTACTAGTGTTGATAGCACAAGTACCGTAAATCTAATAGTAAAAGACCCAACTCATACTACTGTTTGCAGTACCTTAGTTATTAAATCAGAAAATGAAGAGAATAGGATTAATTTTGAAGAGCATGCAAATTTTAATCCAAATTCGAAAAATTCATTTGACATAAATATGTTAAAACCTGAAACATTTCAAGGTGAACTACATCCCATTGAGAATCAAGAAAATGAAACAAGAAGTACATGTTATAACGATTTTCAAGTTTCATTTAATTGTGATAGAGACATTGTTAAAGCTTTGCCTGTATTAGATGCGGACATTGTTATCAAAAGAGAAAAAGAAGATGGGGAGGAAAACATACACTCTGTGCTTAAAAAATTAAAAGTTGAAGTAGAATTTGAGAATGACAACCTTCAAGAATCTGAGAATGGCAATCTTCAAGAATTAGAGAATGTAAACCTTATTCCAAACCATGACTTTAGTGTTATTCCAATTCAAGTTACAGGATCTTGGAGTGATTTTTCCAATCAGAAATGTATGGTAAACTTCATTAAAGGCTGTAAATGGTGAGCAAAAGTGAGTTAGGAATTAAAATTTATAATGTTGAATTCATATTTTCCAATAAAATGTATGAGGTTAATGTGTTGAATTACCTATCTGTTTTCATTATATCTTCTGGGAGCCGAGTATGGTTCCTTTTCCAAAACTAAAGTCTTGAAAGTATTATAACTTTCAAAATATTGTATTTTATTCATACATTTGAAAGCATAGGTAATATGTCTGTATAATTTTAAATGTTTTCTTTAAATAATTTTTTTCAAGACTGAATTATCTTGAGGTAGCAATGTATTCTTTTGCTTTCTGTATTTTAAAACTTATTTTTTTTCTCATAGTATTAGCCTTGTTCCTTATTTCAAAATTTTAGATTTAACTTTGGAAATTATGTACATAGATATAATACAAAGTGGAATTTCTGTCCATAATGTGTTTTCCCTGAGACTTATTTTTATGAGGAACAAATTTACTTCTATTACCAAAATGTATTATCATCTCAGGAAAGATGCAGAAAAAGTTAAACATGTGTGATTAAATTGTGATCTTCTTTGTTTTTCTGTTATACCCAACAGCTGTTGTTATGCAAATATTAACCATGTTTTGGACACATTTTGTGCACTCGTGATAATGTATCTGATACTATATGAACATCTACTTTCAATAGGCAAGTTGAAATTCAGCATGACTCTAGAAGGTCCAAAAATATTGCAGAAGATATTCTGCAATTCACTTACATCTTTAATTGTTTAAACATATATAGCGTAAAAATATGTGATTTTTAATATCAAACATCAGCTTTAATTTATGTCAAAAACTTGCATTGGACAAGTAAGAACATTATAACCAATGGTGAGTTGTATATAACTGTCAAGTGAAACTTGAAACTATATTTTTTAATTTAGCAGCTCATTGTATTTTGAATTTATAAACTTGAAGCTTAAAATGTTTCTTAGCATTTTAAAATAGTAATGATACTTCTGATTATCGTGTGAAAGACTTCCACTTCCATGAAGAATGCCTATAGATGTGGTTTATTCTTTGTTACTAGGTCTCCAGATGGAAGTTGTATATTAACCAACAGTGAAGATAACTGCTTAAGGTTGTTTAATTTACCAAGTGAAGCAAGTAACTATCAGTGTACAGAATGGGACAAGATCAAAGAAATGGTAAGAAAAACTCTTTAGGACAGTATGGATAGATTAAGATGCTATGTCTGTGTAAATATTTAGATGTGGGTAGTTAAATTTGGCCGAATATCGGGTCTGGGTACCTAGTCACTAAACTTTTCCTGGGGCCAGGTGTCAACTGGAACAGGGTTTTCCACTTGCCCCCTCTGTAAAAAAAACATACACAAAAATTAGAAACAAAAACAAAATTGACGTTTATTACATTTAACTGAATAACCACCAACAGAACATTCAAGTTTTACTTTCAACTTTCAATGGCTAGCCCCAACTACTCAAACCCTAACCCCTATTGTTCTCAAAACTCCCAACTTTCCCAGAAATCCACTTCTCAAGCCATGCCTGTTATTAACCCCTGTTGTTCTCTGAATCCCCGACTTTTAGAGGGCGGTCAGTTTTTCTTCTTCAGAACATGTTTTTTATAACTAAACCAATTATTCACTGTAACTTTCAGTACTGCATTAGTTGCCACAAAGCTTAGGGCTTAGATGCCTAACTTCAACACTCGGTTCGAGCTGAGTATTACCGGGTAGCCCAATAGCTGGCCGGGGCGAATATCTGGCTGGGTGGGTACCCGTGCATCCCTAATATTTATATATATATATATATTTAAAGCTCAGGATTGTGGACATTGGCAGTTTTTTAATCGCATTTTTCTAAGCTGTTATGTACCCAATTACTTGTGTGTCCATGACTGTTTGTTATAGGGTTCTTAATAACATATAGGGCACACAAAACACAAGAAAATTTAAGTAAAATGTACTATCAGTATTGAAATTAATCCCACTTTTTACTGATGTGTTTTTCTTTGTAATTTTCATGGAAAATTAATAATTTCATTCAATTTTTTTTGTAAGTTCTTAAAAACTGAGTTTGTAGAGGTAAAAACATAAAATTACTTAGTAAGATCAGTGTAAAAAAAATCAGTGGTCTGAAGGTTAAGTATAAAATTAGTTGAGTATGACATAAAGCAATGTTATTGTAGCCCTTCCACTAACTGATTTAAAATGTTAATCAAAATGAGGATTAATTTTCAAAATAATAATAATAAAAAGATATGGACAACAAGAGATCATTTGGTCTTTCAGTGTTGTCCTTGTATAGCCATCCTTGATAAAAGTAAAAATTTAAATTACCCTTTCTTTTTTGGAAAAATCATCAATTTTCCTCTGAAACTCCATTAAAGTACTGGCCTCCGCTACTTTCAATGGCAACTTATTTCATAAAACAATTACTTTTTTCAGAAAAATAAAACAATCTTAACTGGAGTTAAGCTTGTCTTTTTGTTTTCCAACTTTTTAAACTTGTGTTGATCTTTTCATCCTATTATCTTCATAATATAGTACAAAAAAATCAGAGGCCTTTATCATATCAATCTACAGGTTATATTGTGAACTTCAAAAATATCACTTCTTACCCTTTTTTTTTCTTAATATATCTATGTGCGATTAATTTTTTATCTCTGGGATCATCCGACTAACCCTCCTCTGAACCATTCCCAATGAGTCAATATCCTTTCTTAAATAAGGAGACAAAAAACTGTATACATAATATTCGAAGTGTAGACTTGTAGAGCAATAGTTACTTCTTTTAGCTTTTAATCAATATATCTATACAGCTTTTTCACGTGGAAAAAACCACTGTCAGTCACAGTGGCCAAGTAATAATAATTTTACCAGTCACCTGACACTTGTTGACTCTTTAATTTTTAATAAATTGATAAACATACATGTATTTATTGAAAAAAATATTACACATGTAAGAAATTCTTTAACATAGCAACACTATTTTGAATTAACCATCTGTTCATGGGCTCAATCAGATTTACTGACCACATATCTGTGAAGTTATATATTAAAGTTTACTAGAATTATGAATTTACTGTGTGTATCTTCATGAAATTTCCCCAGCCTTTAGTAAACATTACAAGTTTTTTTGTACAAAAAAAGTGAAGTTTTTTTACAAAGTACTTTCACAAAAGATTGTCTATAAATTTACAAAGCCTTTACTGAATCACTCTGAGTGAAAGGTGATTTTTGTACTATAGATAAAAATACTTCTTTTCATTTTACAGTTTTTTATTTAACTTGCATAACCTTTAGAACATCCTAAATGAATATCAAAAGTTGTTTTTAACACAGTTTCCAGTTAATGGTTTTATGGCTGTAATTCTTGTGTCAAAAGCAATAAATTACAACAGGACTCCATTAGCTATTTTCTGTAGAGCTAAGGTAAACACCACACCATTGCTGTGTGTAATATTTCACAGAGCACCTGAGCTCTGTAAATTTTATGTTTATTTTTACTGAAGTTTTTGTAGGTTAAGCTGAGAAGTTTTACATTTTAGTTACTTTTGTTATAACAACAGATATATATACACAAAGACAAGAATATGTAGCATTTATTGCATACTCAAGCTCTTTTACACTTGAGTAAAAATTTTTAGATGTTTTTTTATAAGTAGCTTTCAAATATGCATTTTAGGACAAAAAGTATACCAGTAGCTAGAACAGAATTTCCCAAAACTATCATAATTTATCAAACTTTCAATGTGATTATTAAATAGGTTAAAAAATTTAGCATTGAGAGCACCAAAATATTATCACCATATGCAGAGTTGTAGCTATGGTGGGCAGGACAACCCAGGACTCATTCTGCCACCCAGCACTCCAATTTTGGATTTGTTAGTTTCTTTTCTGATCAAATCTCTAGACTCCCTATAGTCCTCTAAGTCTTCCAATTTTCTGTAAATTAAAACTTACTAAACTTTGTAATTTATCCCTGATTTTCTCATTTATGTCTTTAGTAAGCCAGTTAGGTTTAATCTTCACTGTTGTTCTTTTTTTTTGTGTGTGTATATACAACTTGTATATTGATGATGGAAAAGCACACACACTCTTAGTGCTCATGTGGCTGACAGTCTGAAAAATATTGGTTCTGATATTAGAAGGTGTCATAGGTTGGAATAGATGGGATTTCTGTAATTTTGGGACAAAGACAGATATAAGGGTATATCTTAAGGTCAAATACTCACCATTTGTCCTACAAATTGTCTTATGCACATGTTATACAATTTTGGAGCCTCACCAAGTTGTTACAGTCCATGTTGCCATCTCCAGCCATGCTCTATCTGATATCTTCATAGCAGCCCTGCTGCATAATTTCCATTGCAAGAGGATCTGTTGTAAGTCCTAAGTACACCATTTCTCCACATGCTTTCCATAATCCATACAGTTTATGAGGATGAAGGTTTCCAAGTGCTCACTTCAGTAGTCCAATTGCACACAAATCCATACACTGCATTCCAATGACAGGTATGTGTTCATATGAAATAGCATGAATGGCCATTTCACTCTTCAGCTCTAGAGGTATGTAATGGTTGAACAGATATGTCATAGACACAGCTTGTGTACATGTGACTTGTGTTGGTTTTCCAGACTAAGATCATTCTTGATTATGTTGTTCACTGTTGCCTGGGGCATGTGAATGGATTTTACCACTGTTAATAGATTCAGCACTTTACTTACCACATCTGGGGAATGCCTTGTTGAAGGTCTCTTTCTGGGTGGTCCACATTTTCTAAACTGATCCATATTCCATCATTTTCCAATGCCATTAAGTACAAGGGTTATCCTCATCATAAAAAAAAATCTAAATCCCTGATATGAACACGTTTTTATGATCTGAGTGTATGAATATTTTGCTTTGTAAAAGGCTGTTACATATCCTAAATCAATTTTTGGTGGCATCACGAAATGCCGAACTATGTCAAGTTAAATTCTGATACATACTATTCCACCAGGACTTTATATCAGCTGTAGTTATATGATTTGCTGGTTTGCTCATTCAGTCATTTTAATATAACATACTCAACCCTCTGTATCATGAACAGATTCAACAAAAGATTGCCAGTGTCTACTTTTATATCTCAGATTCAAGAAGTCTGCAATAAGAATTAGAAATCTTAAGAGAGTGAAAGAGGTAATGGATGATCCATTCTTCAAAATTAAGAGACTCAGATTGATAAATTCATTAGAAGTTGTGCACAAGTTATCCCTCAATTTTAATCACTCTGAGTTAGCTTAGTGCAGAGGAGAATACAACTGCTTCATTGGCTAAGTACTTTAGCAACTACAAGTGCACACTTATTACAACATTTAGTTTATATGTTCACAATATTGTGAATATTTAGTGAAATCCAGCTACTGGGAAATAAATGCCTTGATGTATTACTCAGACATGATTCCGAAAGTATCAAACAATTAAGAAAGGGTTTTTAGTCATGATGAGGACAGTGAGAAATTTCTTCTGAAAAGATGCACTACTTACAGTGCAGCCCCTGATGCAGAATGTTAAAGGCATTGATAGAAGTATGTTGCAAGTGTCAAAGGTAACAGTGGGAATAAATTCAAGAAAAAGGACAATGCTAATCCTAACTTATCTGGATCATTTGTTAGAGTCATTTACCTTACGGAAAATAGTAATATTGGCATTAGAGAGGCATCTGTGGTTTATTTTTAAAATCTAAGAAGATTAAGGCACAGTATGACAGAGAGGGACTGCATGTTGGATGAAGATGTTTTTAACAATCAATGGCTTATGTTACAGGGAATGATTAATGAAAGCTATTAGTAATGCAACATGACAAAACTTTGCAAGATTGTTCTTAATCTACATGTGACTGTGATGCCTAATGTTGTCAAGCTATGTAATAATGCCTTGTGTTTCTGCATAATAAGTGTTCAATATGGCAAAGCATTTATTGTCTAAAGTAGGATAAGAACCAAATTTGGGTGGTCTATCAAAGATGAAAACGTTGACACTTTAATGAAAATAGTTGTGATATGATAGATATTTTGACCCTACTTTTGCTGTTAAACTGTGGCAGTTGAAGATTAAAAGGCTCCTTAGCCAAAATGATAAAATAGATTAAACATATTTTCACAAGCAGTATTAAAAAAAGACAGAAATATATTTTTATTTTGTTTAGAAATCACTGCTAATGTAACTGCAACTTACTGTAAGGTGAAAAACCTGATATTATTTAAACTTGATAAAAATAAAAGCCATTCCTGATCTGATAGCACAATCATAATGTCGAAGAAAGATTCTGTTTATTTTATTAGAAATCCAATATGTGCATTCAGACATTTTGTTACACATATTCAGTCTGCAGCATTGGAATAACAATATACTGTTTATGTATTGTTTCTGTGGTTAATTGTTTCACAACCACAGTGTCTGTTGACAATAAAGTAAATAAGAATCATTGTTGGCTTTATTTTTATTTAAAACCCAAAGTTTTTGTACTGTAGTCCAAAGTAACAATGCAGTTAAAATGTAAAGCTATAACTGATGCTTACTAAAGATTGTAAGTATTTATCAAAAGTACTATGATTTAAAGATCATGCTGCATTTTATTCACATAGTCTCAAAATGAGGGTAATAAATTACTGTAGGCTCAAATTCTTATCTGTAACACTGTTGATGAATGGTACACAAAATTGCTGCTTTGATATACATGTACTAACTGTATAGTGCTGCCACCTGTTGGTACCTTCAAAATAATCCCCAGTTAATTCTCTATGCATATATGTGGCCAAGCAGATGCAGATAAAATATATAGCAGCTGATATAAGAGTTAACACCATCACCACTTGATAGATGACACACTCTGCATTATCATTCAAATAGAGTTTGCATGTAAGCTCATTCCTAAGTGTTCTTTGTCATTAGCCGTTAATCTGTGAGTCATAATAACCGTACTGCATTATAATAGCCAAGTAAGCACTCTGTTAATGTGGTTTAGGAAAGTTTTCCCAGGACATAATTAAGCTCTGTCCATGCTGAGTTGGAGTTTCGAGTTAATTTGGTAAACTGTAGCATCTATGTGTACGTTGATGTTTATATTGTTTTGCTAGCGTGGTGTATCCATAGAACAGTGTATGCAAATATAATTTATATAAAAGATTAATATCTTGTTAAATAAAACCAACATATTTGTATATTTGTTTTGAAATTGTTCTTTTTGTACATATATGTGTGTTACTGGATATTGTGTGTCTGGAAATCTTGTTAATTAACTGTGATATAAATTCATAAACTTTGTGTTTACTTACTTTTTGATAAACATTTGTACTACTAACTCTAAATTGTGTAAGGTTTTGATCGTATTAATTATAAAATGTATTTCATAAAATCTATATTATAGTATGCCAGGTTTTCAGTTTTAACTCTTCTTTGAGATCTTATTTTGTAAAAAAGTATATTACAGTATACCAGGTTTTCTGTTTTGACTGCCTTGTGGGCTTGGAGAAATCAGCGGGGAAAGCTTTTCAGCTTTTTAAACACGTGTATTTAAACAATTTATTCACCAAATTGTTTGTGGCTATCAATCACTTCATTGTTATAAAATCTCAAAAAACACAAGATTCATAAAAAAAATTTAAACAAATATACCCTCAATATTCTAATTAATCCCACTATATGTTGTTGGTGATTGATGTATTTTACATGTAAAATTAGTGATTTCATCCAATTCAATTTTGTCAGTTCTTTCAACCAAGCATTATAAGAGGCAAAACAAAAAAAATATTCAATATAATGCAATATGTGGACTCCACTGGAGGAGAATGATATCAAAATAAGCTTTTTTCAAGTCACTGAAAGGACACTGAGAAATTGTATATAACCTTAGATCCTTCAAGACGTTGAAATTTGAATTATAAATAAATAATCTCAATATGAATGTATCTGTATTATAAAAAAAGACAGAATTTAGTCTTCTTTGTAAACTTAGCTGGTGAAATGCATTATTCAAACCTTTTGCCTACAGTCCCATGGCATGACTGGTTCAATCCTAGAACTACCAACAGAGCAGCTTTTTAACTACGACTCTTATGCCTCGTCATCTAATTAGTGACCTGCAGGAATGGATTAACCAGATTCCCACCATCCCTATCTACTATCTAGCGAAACCACAGCCAAGGGAACTTTTTTACTTTTCACTGTGTTGTTTTATTGATCTAAATAAATAAATGTCAATGAAAAAAATGGCAGAAATTAGAATATACAGTTTATTTTATTTGTAGCCTTATTCATACTTATCCAGGTTACCTAGGTGGAACTGAGTAACAGTTTTAACATAGTGTTTTTGTAGAATGTAAGGATATACCATTTGAGGATTGTTAAATGTTTTGGCACATTACCATTTCCCTAAGTTTACACGAAGCTCTTATTTTCTTTTTTCTTATGTTTTGGGTGAATTGGATAGAATGCAGTGTTACAGGTACAAGAAGGTGATCTGGTTTATGACTATTGTTGGTACCCATTCATGTCGTCATGGGATCCTGCATCTTGTTGGTAAGTGGGAAAAATAACCTTTTTCTGATGAAAAGTAAGTTCATAGAAACTACTTTGCTACTTCCCTTTTATCTGTCAAACAGCTACTATATTCGCGAATGTTAAGCAGTATGACAAGAAATAAAAAGATATATTGATACATTTATTTTTATGTAGATATACTCAGTTCATTGAAACATAAGTAGATTGTAAATGTAAGTTTCAAAAAAATATACCCGGATTTCAAAAAACTATATTTCACAATTTTCAGTGTGGATGAACCGTGTAAAAGAGGGTAGAATACGACTGGTTTGTTTTGTTTCAGTTTTGTTACCAGTGGACGTGATAATCCTATTCACATGTGGGATGCTTTCACTGGAGAACTTCGGTGTACGTATAGAGCTTTCGACCATTTGGTGAGTTGTACTGTATAGCATCCCATCCAAGGGCAATGTGTTTCATTCTCATCCGCTTGTGCCTATAAAGTTGAAGTTTTTTATATGCTGAACTTACAACAATTAGTGTCATGTAAAGTAATCAATTCATCAAAATTACAATTAAGTAGAATAATATCATGAATATATTCAACAAATGTTTATGATAATTACTAATTTTGATTATTCCAACTATCCAGTAATTGAAATTATGACTTAATTAATTAATGCCACAAAAATAATTAACTAATCAAAATGAGTGTTTCTGATTCTAACTATTTTTGATTATTTCAACTGTGCAGTACTTGAAATATTACCATTATTATTTTTGATTTATTCAAGTTTACTCAGCTTAACTAGCTCATGAAAATAATCATCTATTCAAACTTAGAGGTTTGGTTATTATACTATTTTTGATAAATTTGACTATCTAAGTAATGAAAATATTGTCATCTTGCTTATTTGTTGTTAACAGCAAAGCTACATTGTGCTATCTGCACTGCGCTCACTGCTGTTGTCAAAATCCAGTTTTTAGCATTAAAAAGTTTGTTTTTTTTAATTTGAGTTTGTTCATCTTTGGGCCGGGGTGCTTTATGATTCAAGAGTCCTGGGCTTATTAACTTCTGTTGCCACCAAACTTGCTCACCTTTTCAACTATGGATGTATTATATTTATTTTTGAGTTATGCCAAGGCTGTTAAGACTGTCTGCTTCTGTCCCTAATTTTTGAATTGCTGACTAAAGGTAAGGCAGCTGGCTGACAGCACCCACTAACATTATGTTACATTTATAATTGTGTAAATGTATTCTTTAAATATTGTTGAATAAGATGTAAAATCTATTTTACATTGTAATTTATAACTTGCATAACTTTGTTCTTTAATTTTAAATAAGCTATAAATTTAAATTTTCTACACAATGTTATTGTATGTGCTATGTTTGTAACACCACACCTTACTTTCTTGAAGCTGTGATGGGCACTTGCACTTCTGGAACCCACAACTTTCTGATCACAAGTCACAAGAAAAGTTAAAAGTTGCACACACTGAAAAATTTTATTCATTCAATGTTTAAGACATGGAGTTCAAATATTGATAAAGAATAACAGTGGTATTAAAGCTGAAGGTAAAATAGTAATATATTTATATAATAGTACAATACTGTACTTGAAGTACTAGTTAATGTTTTCATGCTGAGATTTAGTATGGTACACTTGAAATATTTATTTCATAGCAATGTTCTGTTTTCTCTTTCATTACTAAAATCATAAATTCCATTGAGAAAGAAATGCAAGATATATTATAGTCTTGGATTTGCCACCTATCACTGAGACTGGTTTTGATAAACGAGAGAACCTGCTTAGATGAGTACAGTGTTTGAACTGTTGTTTACTCACCACAAGTAACCTGTATATTATTTATGGTGAGGTAAAGAGAACTTAAATATCTTACATGTTAACTAAAAGTCACTACTACAAGAGGCCTGGTCTTGTTCTCCAGTTTACTCTTTCCTGTGATTACTAATGAGGGGTAAAATTGTTTAGAAGTGAGCTTCAGGGCTTATTATTCTAAACCTTGGGGTTTAATCCTTGTGGTGAACAGTGTGCAGATAGCTCATTGTGTATCTTTGTGCTAAAACAAAACAAACAGTCTTCTAAGCAGACTGAGATCTTTTTCAATATTTTTGAGTTCTTTCTCACATTGTGTGTTTGAAACCTCTGTATGTCATTCATAATTTTGTAACTGAAATGTATTGATATATTCTTTAAGTACAAACATGTTTTAACTCTTATATTGTTCGAAAATCGTTTTATACTCCTCTGCTCCCACATTAAAGGTGTTTTCAAATTTTAAAAACTATCTAAATCTAAGAGAAGTGCTTTTATTTTTTGCTTTAGGATGAGCTTTCGACTGCACATAGTCTTGCTTTTGATCTTGATGGGCAACGTTTGTTTTGTGGATTTAACAAAATGATTCGAGTATTTGACATAGGCCAACCTGGGAGAAATTGTGAACATAGACCCACAAATGGTAAGTGTTTTTTGCTTTGATAACTAAAGTGTGTGTCAAAGCTACAATGTTGTATACTTGTTTTTTTAAGACTCATAATGTAGGTAACTTAATATATACAATTATAAATGGACTTTTCTCTATGTTAAAACTTTTATTGCAAATTTTCAGCCCTCTTACCAAGCTTTTATTGGGCAACAATGCGCTGAGCAGGCTGACAGTTTGAAATAAAAGTATTTTAAGGTAGAGAAAAGTCCTTTCAGAATTCTACATGTTGTATACTCTATGTTTCTATGACAATTAGCTAAAGCTGGTCAAAATATGTTGTGATTCACCTACTTATCTCATTAAAAACTACACTGATAGCTAATTTCTTTACTTTTTTATGCTTTATTATCAGTTTCTAATTTTCAGCTATGTAAACTAGATAGTTGTTAGTAACTGATTTGTTAAATGTCACTAACTGAGTTGCAAACTGGTCATACTATTTGTCTAGTACCAGCCTAAACATATAATTGAAATGACTCTAATATCACCTAATTATCATTGAAATAAATTCATAAATTATTCCTCTGTTATAAAAAAATTAATAGGCAAATAGAAGCAATGTAGCAGTCAGTCAATTTGCTTTTCGATCTGTTTAATCAACTGATAGGCTAGGAGTTAAATAAAATTTCTGTTCATCCATATTAAAATGCCTTCAGAGAAATTTGCACTTTTTTAAAAATTATTTTCTGTTTTTAATATTCCAGCTAAAAAACAAGGCCAGGCTGGCATAATATCGTGTATGGCTTTCAATCCAATGGATCGAAGTATTTATGCAGCTGGGTCTTACTGTAAAACAGGTATGTTATAAACAAACATAAAATGTTTCTTTAACTTTCTACATGATATGTGTGTGTGTATATCTACATATACTTACAGCTGATTAATACAAAAAATTCAAAGTTATTTAGAGATTCATTGTTTATATTACAGTTGGTGTGTATACAGAACCTAATGGTCAGCTTTTCTATATGTTTGATGGACCAGTGGGTGGCATCACACACCTTGTATTTTCCCCTGATGGAACAAAGTTGTACACTGGTAGTAGGAAGGTTAGTCAAAGACAAAATCTTCCTAAACTAGCTTTAATTATGCAAAAACAATATTGTGTTGACAATATGCGCATGTTGAAAAACACAACATTTTTAACAATGCTCATGAACGAATAGCATAAAATCACAAATGTTTAAATACAAGAAGTGGGAATTACAATAATGATTAAAAGTAGCAAGATGAACAACAAATATTAATATGCTTGCTTAGGAGCGTTGAAGAACAACAGGCAAGTTTTCTAAAGGTTTGTTTGTTTACAAACTAACTGTGGAGTGTGCAACTAATACATATCTAGTACAAAAACTGTGTTTCATGAAAGAGGTCAGGAACTTTCTCTCCTAATACAATGATTTACAAATAATTATTTTAATTGTATTAACTCATAATAGGACATAATCAAAGATATTTTCAGTGGCATGAATAAAATTTGTGTGTGTGTGTGGTTAGAACAAAATATTCAGTCAGGTTTGTAAAGACAAGTCCGAACTTAGGAAGCCATATTAAGTTTTTCATTAGTCACTTTTCATGTTTAGCTGAGCTCACTAAAAATGACATAAAGATACCTTCAGCCATTTAGCAACAATAACTAAACTAGCTTTAATTATGCAAAAACAATAACTATAAATAAATTGCAACTATTATGTTTTCAGTACATTACTTGTATAAAACTTATAGAAATTGTAACTGAACAGGGCTCCTAATGAACTTATTAAAACCTACAAACTTATTAAAACTTAAATTGTGAAAGTAATTATTTTTTTTATGTGTGAATATGGTCTATAAAACTTTAATGTTTTCAACCAACCTGAACCACAGGTTTATGCCTTTTTGTGTTTTCATAAAATATATATTAAAATCATACGGTGGGTATAAGAAACCTACTTTGATCCGAATAATATTGTGATTTTATGAGTAAAAAATTCTCTGTTTCGAAGATTGTTTTTGTTTTGCCAAAGAAATGAGGCTTTTCTGGCTGAGGAGCCTATAAAAACACATGTTTTTATGTTATAGTCTCTTATTTTAATCTATTTTTTCTTAAAAATGGACTGACAGGCCTGATTGAAGAATAACATAATATTTTTATTGTATGTATTTTCATTCAACAGTTGTTGTAAAACTAGAACCATTTTTAAGTGTACATTATATTGTATATTTTAAATAATTTACCTGAGGACAGATTTTAATTTTTTTTGTTTGCCTATTTGTAGGACCCAAATATCTTTTGTTGGGACTTAAGAAATCCAGGACAAGTATTGTGTTCCTTAAGAAGACTAGTTACAACAAACCAACGTATATATTTTGATATAAGCAGGTATAATGCTATTGAGTATTAATTTTGTAATATATTTAAAAAAAAAAAAAATCAGTCAAGATTCTCTTTGAATGGAAACTTTTTTAAGAATGCTGAAACAGAAACTGTAACTTTTTAAAAGCTTCCAATGATTTCATTATTTTTAATTCACTGTCTAAAATTTTACATATGCAGTACTTACACTAGAAATAATCTGGTCCTCTAACTAGTCTGTCTGGTCAGCAAGCCACTATATAAAATAGCAGATAAATACTTTACTGCAGGGGTTCCCAAAACTTTCTTTTCTTGGGGTTCCATCTCTTGACATCAAGCAAAGTGATTGAGGAACCCAATCCAATAAATTCATACAAATGAATAATATATATATTTTGATTGCACTCAATATTCTCAAAAGCACCAAAGAAAGTACTCTAAAAAATGTTAGATACATTGGGGGTATGTTTGTATGTACTGTGGTTCCCCTGACACCTTGCAGCAAACCCCAGCTCTGTGGTTATAAACTAACTTCTGTTATTAACTTATTGTAATTATTGCAAAACGTTAATTGATTATGCTTTATTTGTGGGTCACAGTAACTTTTAATGTTTTTTTTGTGTCTAGCATAAATTGACACTGCCCTATCACTTCACAATATAAATATATACTTTCATTATTATTTGTGTCATTTATACTTCATATCATTTATGGTGAAGTGTGCATGCCTAATTTCCTCTTTTTGAGGTGGAATTTTTTTATATTTACTTTCATGAAATATGCGATCCCACCTAATTTCTTCATGCTTTTTTTGTGTAATTTTCGTTGTAACAATGGGACTTAAAACTATTTTCTCTTTTAAGTGGAATTTATTCATTTTTAGGATTGATTCAACTAATATTTCATTGTTTTGGTTTTTTAAATACTTTGGTCTGTTAGGCTAATTTTTGTTCTTTGATAATCCTACAATGCAACTTAGAGAGTTGTTTTATTTTTTCGCATTTCTTCTTCTGTGGCTTTGTATTTCCACGGTACTATAGTATACATAATGTGGTGTGCCTGGCTTGTTGGTTTAAAAATGTTTTTTTAATTGACTGCAATATTAATCATAATTTGATTTTTCTTTTTTAATATAATTTTAACTCAACTCATCCTTGGGATGACATAGTAAAAATGTCTCTAAGAGCTATATTCACAACTAATGTACTTTAATTTTAGAAGTGATTATTAACAACATATTCTAAAATTTTATTTTATTGCTTACAACCTGTTCTGATACTCTATTTGATTGTATACAACTTGTTCTGTCATTTTATATGATTGATTATGACTTATTCTGATATTTTTTTTCTTTGTTTATAGCTTATTCTGATATCTTATTTCATTATTTAAAGTCTGTTCTCGTACTTTCTTTCATCATTTACTCCTGTTCTGATATTTTCTTTCTTTGTTTATAGCTTATTCTAATATCTTATTTCATTATTTAAAGTCTGTTCTCGTACTTTCTTTCATCATTTACTCCTGTTCTGATATTTTCTTTGACTGTTTAATGCCTGCTCTTTGATAATTTCCTATCCTCACCATTCCTTTGCTTTTTTTTCCATGGTTAAAAGTGATTTACTTGTGCTATATATTTTCGTGGAAGAAAATATCACAATATTATTGTATAGCAGATACGGGGTTTTTTAAAAGCTGAAGGTAAGATGTGTTGGGGGGGAGTGCTTCAGAAAGTATCTTTTCTGAAATTTTGGCTTGAAAGTTAGAACAACTTTTTCATCAACAAGTTATTCTCACTCTTTGTTTTAAATAATGTATAAAAGTTCTTGATAGGTCTGGTAGGCTCCTTTTTGTTGTTGTTATGAAGGCGATATACATTAAGGAGCTAAGTTAAGGGTACTGTATTTCCACAATTGTGCACGTGAAACTAATTCACCTTTACATGTGATGTTTGTTGACAATTAAGTTAGAGGGTGGTGTATCAGAAGGTACATGTACCATGGAAATTGAAAGAAAGATAAACATTTATAATTAAACTTCAGAAGTAAAAGTTGTGTTCCTAGATTGACCTAAAGAAGAAATTGGTTCTCGTTATAACTTTATTAATACTGAATCTAGAAAGATAAACATTTATAATTAAACTTCAGAAGTAAAAGTGGTATTCCGAGATTGACCTGAAGAGAAATGGGTTCTCGTTATAACTTTATCAATACTGAATCTAGAAAGATAAAGATTTATAATTAAACTTCAGAAGTAAAAGTTGTATTCCTAGATTGACCTGAAGAAGAAATTGGTTCTCGTTATAACTTTATTAATACTGAATCTTGACTCTCTCTCTTTTTTTTTCTAAATGTATTTTTTCAGTAGATTCATTGTTACAACTTCTTATAGAACCAGTCTAATAATTTTATTCTAAACCAACTAACTTGAAGGCGTTTTGTCGTAACTTTTCCTATCCAGGTATTGTCATTGCAAGAGCATGTAAAAGATAAATTTAGGCCCTGTACCTAAAGGTGATGTTTTATTTATAAGTCAGTTCAGGCTGTTGTTTAAAAGAGAAAGCTGTTCTTGGCTGAGTAACTTTAAATATTTTCTTTTGAAAAGTAACAGTTTAAAAATAGCCCAATCAAACTTAGGTGCTGAAAATAAAAGCTCGATTTGTTATTACTTTGTTGTTTACTTATTTAGTGGTATCTATAGACAAGAATCAAACTTTTATTTTTTTCACATTGATCTTAAAGTTGCCAAGGTTTATTCGGAGAAACTAAACTTATTAACTGTAAAGTACAAGTAATTTATTTGTTTAGAAAATTGTTAAAAATTTATGATGTTTCATTTTTTGTGTGGGATGATTAAAAAGTGTGAAATGGAGATTCATTTTGAGCGGAGCAGTTGAGATCGTGTGTACTTTATTACCTGTATTGTTAAATTGTTTAGTATTAAAATAAAGAAAATAAAGAATTTAAACAATTCACTGAACTAATTATGGCTTTTAAAGCCAAACAGATATCTCTGTTACATTGATAAGTGGCTGCAGTACAAGTTTTAGGTTATGTGGAAAGTATTGTCAGACTAATAAATTTATTACATACTATTGTAATTTTTTTAGCTGTACATGATTATTTTATTTCTCTTATAATTAAATATAACCTTATTTTCTGTGATAATGTCTTTTTTTGTATCATTTAAACTGTTGTGTATACTAGGAGTGTTATGTTTTTTATTTGGTTAGCACATAATTAATTTAAACTCTTCCAGTGTTTCCCTGAGAGTTTTGACAATCAATCTTCATCAGCATGTGTTTAGTCTTGTTTGCAGTCAGGTTGCTTCTTCATTTCATTCAGATTGTTTTGTTCCTAACAGAATCCTGGAATGGTTTATTTGTCTAGCAGTTATCAAGAACTTTAGAATAGTGGATAAATGGACATTTCCCCAAGAGAGTCTGTGAAATCTTAGTTTACTTCTCTTGTCAAAAACTCTAGTGGATCGTGTTCTGAATGTTTTAAATCTTGATTGATAGTGGTTCTTTTCCAAGTTTTGTTTTCTTAAACCATTCTTGATTACCAAAGGCCTATTTTTATCTTTTATTCACCCTAGTGTGATACAGGTAGTAAGTTCTTTGCCTTCATTTTTAGCAATTATTCAAGTAGTTGTTGTTAACAGGAGATCTGACTAGGAATCAGACAGATCCTCCCCCCTCCCCCAGGTTATGTGTAACAAGATGTTTATCCAAATTTCTTTCAATGATTGCCTGATTTTTTTTTAACTTTTTATCTCCTATCTGCTGTGTAGTTATATTTATTCTTTAAACCTATGTTTTCATAACTGACTATCATAGACTTCAGAAATCTATTTGATTCCTTACAAGCTACTTCATTTCACTTTTGAAAGGTCATATAATTGACCAGGTGTTTGAGATGATTGACTTTTGTTAAAACAGAATCACCACATGAAAACTGTGAAAGGGGGTAGCAAGATACAGTTTATATTCATGATGAACATTCTTTGCTTGAATTATTTTTTGATTCTTAGTTTGTTTTAATTGCTTCTTGTTGTCACAAATGGCATTAGGGTTATTAAACTGCATTTTTATTTCTTCTTGTTCCAGCTGTGGACAGTACCTCATTTCTGGAAATGATAATGGAGTTGTGACAGTATGGGACACCACAAAAGCTCCTATTGAAGTAGCTGGAGAGCAGAATCCTATCCTTCCTCCTTATCATTACTTTCAAGCCCATCGGGATTGTGTAAATGGAATTAGGTATGTATATAAATAAATATAGTTAACAAACAAAAAAAACATTGGCAGAACAAGTACTTGCTTCTATATCAGTAAATAAGAATAGCGAGTTAACTTTAAAAACTAGAAATGTTATAGTATTAGGAGAATATTAGTAGCATTAGACAGACATGTAACATTTTCCCATCCTCTGCAAAAAATCTTCAGTAATTGAATTAGGAATGTTATATATGTGTCTGTTATGCCAATCAAACTAATAAATTTATTTTGGTTGTTTTTTTGGAACAAAACCACAGCAAGCTGTCATTAATGAGAAAGGCACTCTGACATGGATGAACATTAGAGAAACTTTTCTAACATTGGACGATGTGCCATACCATAATACGTTATAGTAAAAGCATATTTCTAGCCTAGGTTACTCTTTTTTGTGTTTTTGTTCCATAATTTACCGAGCAGTCTAAATGTACTCGGGTAAAGGTAACATTCCTAAACATTATGGTAATACTGTAAGCTTCAGTATTGTAACTATAAGAAACTTTCTTTAAAATTTAAGTTAATTTTTTTACATTTTTGTATAATACTTTATATTTTATTTTTCTGTTTATGAAAGGAACCATTGTTAACTGGTAGGACTTATAAAGATAAAGAACAATGGTAAAAAATAGAATTATGATAAGCATTTTTGTAATTAAATGAACAACATTAATTCAATAACATAATGTAGGCAGAAACTGTAAGACTAATGATGTAAATACATCATTTTATATAGCCTTTTGCTAATGATAAATAAAAAACATACTTTGTTTTGATATTTGAAAATTAATTATTGTATATCACTAAAGTTTTATTTGATTGTAATGTAATGCTGTTTAAACTGACTATGTTTTTTTTTTAAATTTCAATAGTGTATATATTGAGGAGTATTCATTTTATGTGCAAAAAATTATACTTAATTTCATGTTGGGAGGGTGTAGCGTTATCATTTATTTTAATTAATCTCAATTGTCTAGGGTCTTTTAACTGTGTTCTAAAGCATTTGCTTACAAATTGTTTCATTAAAATATAAGTTTTAAATGTTAATTTTACAATAAACTAATCAACTTTTCCAGTCTTCATCCATCAATGCCTCTTTTGGCTACATCATCTGGCCAGCGGAAGTTTCCAGAGCCTCTCGACTCAGAAGAGGATGAAAGTAGTGAATCTGAAATGTGGCTTACTAAAAATTTAGTGATAGAAAACTCACTTCGATTATGGTGGACTGGTGGTCATAAATTTACTGGTGCTATTAACATAGCAGAAACATAAAAGTTCAGGAGTATGTAGCAAACCAGAAACCTGGTAAATTTATACTCTAGTCTTTCACACATTGATACAACAGTTTCTGTGAAAGGAGTGTGTTTTCTGAGTAAACAGTTTTATATATTCAGACATATCATTCAAATTGACCAAAATAACACCATACTGAAGTGCAAGTGTGGCATGTATGTATTACTCAAATCATTGAATGATGTGATTTACATATGTTTCTATGTAAATATAAGCTGTTTACATGATTGCTGTTAAATTTCATTTGTGACGATAATGTCTAAAAATTGTAAAGATTTTATTGCAAGATCTTATCAGGTGGAAGGTCTTAGTTCAATGCCCAAAATACATCATACGCAGTAGATTAATATTAAACTATTTTTGGTATTATTTCATATTTTCATTATGTAATCTACTCTTATTGAAAGAGTGTATCAGAATGTTTTCCTTAAACATTTAGTTTATATGCATAGAAATATTCTTTTCAGTGCTATATGATGTTCATCTAAAGATGTGTGGTGAACCAGAAAGTCTTGTCATAAAATGTCAAGTTAGGAATTAATTAGCATTTTCATAGTGATATATATGTATATCTGTTCTTTTTTTTTTTACTTTATTTTGTAAATTTACTTTCCTTATCTTTGATAGATTTATGTATTCCAGTTCTGATTTAGTAATAGGTTTGTTGTCAAAAATTAAATACTTTTCAGTGATAATAACACTTTCAGACTAAAAGATTTGCATTAAATCATATTTAGAACTTAGGTGACTCTGCCTGTAGTGATGTTTTTTGAGGAAGGGACTTTTGTAATTGTTGTTGTTGTGATGGAAGTTAAGATTAGGATTGAATATTATTTGACATTTTTTTAATTGATTATTTCTCTAGAAGTATTCTGATTTTATAGAACTCATTATTTTTCTGTATTTTGTGGTCATTGTATGCATCAGTCAAGATCATTTTATAACAGATAAAGTTTCATCTTTTGACACATAATATTGCAGGTGGATGTAAAAGCATGTGAAAATAAGGAATACATTGATTTGTATCTGATGTAAATTATATACATAACTTTTAAATAAATAGTATATTCTGTTGAGAAATTTTTTTGAAATCTTTCATAAATTACATATTTAAGAAAATACATGTAAATCTTTAGGGCATTAATTTAATTACTTGATAAATTTAATTTATGAAAGGAAACAAATATTGTATTAAATACGATCATTTGAACAAATAAAGATATATAATTAAGGTTGAGCAAACTAGGGTTACCAGCTGGGATATAGATTAAAGTTAATAAGAATATAGAAACTAGGATTTTGTAAAAATTAGGATAAATAATTAAGGTTGAGCAAGCTAGGGTTAGAGCTGTGATACAGATTAAGGTTTATAGAAGAATATAAAATAATATTATGAGCTTGGACACAAGTTAAAGCTGAAATAGAATACAAACTAGGGTTAGCAGTTGGGATACAGATAAGGTTTATAAAAGAATATAAAATAGGGTTATTAGCTTGGATACGAGTTAAAGTGAAAGTAGAATACAAACTAGGGTTAGCAGCTGGGATACAGATTAAAGTTTATAGAAAAATATAAAATAGGATTATTAGCTTGGAAACAAGTTAAAGTTGAAAATACAATACAAACTAAGGTTAGCAGGTGAGGTGAAGATGAAGTTCAATAATATAATATAACTAGAGTAACCAGTTGGAACACAGCTGAAGGTTGATAGCATAATACAAACTAGGGTTAGCAGGTGAGGTGAAGATGAGTTCAATAATAGAATACAACTAGAGTAACCAGTTGGAACACAATTGAAAGTTTATAGTATAATACGAACTAGGGTTACCAGCTGAGGTACAGAATCAGTTTAGAAAGTAGCCTGTAAGTACCAGTTAATGTTACCAGTAAGGTACTGGGTTATGGTTAAAGACAAAGTAAAAGTTGAGCTTACCTGTAGATTATGGAACTTGGTTACTGCCACAAACAGGACAGAGAAGGGACTGTTAGTGAAACATATGAAGACCTGTGACAGAACAAGAAGAAAATTCCTTAACTGGATAAAAAAGTGAATTTTAAGAAGTAGCTAGAAACTTTAACACTATTTCAAATTATCTTATGGGATTATTTCCAAAACATGAATTTTAGAGTTTTTGCATATACAGTTTTTTGACAGTGATAATAGATTTAATTTTCTTTGAAATGACAATTATTTTGTAATGTTATTGCAATAAACAATAAAATAAAAATCTAATCTAATCAATACATTTTGTAGAAATTAGTATAATAACTTAAGTAGAGTGAAAAAAAAAAGAGATGTAAACATCATTTCACCTTGAATTTTACAGTAATTGCATTGTACTAACAATGCAGTAATTTTGTCAGTATGTTTTTATCTCAACCATTGCATATGATAGGGTTTTACATCAGGAAATAAAACTTTAATTTGATAACTTAAAATAACCCAATAGTCAAATGGGTCGGGAATGTCCTAATGATTAGCATGCCCTGACAGTAAATCTGAGGGTTCATGGAGTTAGTTGTGGGTATACTGTAAGAGTGATTGTCAGATACCAATATTTGTTCAGACAAGAGTAGTCCAAGAGTTAGTAGTAGGTGTTGTTGAGTAGCTGCCTTCTTTGTGGTCTGTTAGTTTAAAATTATGGATGGCTGTGCTAATAGTCCTTTGTGTAGTTTTGCATAAACATTCTTTAAAAAAATCTATAGGCTAAACATAGTTTAACATACTGATATGATAATTTGCATAATATTATTTTTTAAGTGTATCGTTAGAGATATGTGGTAAATCAAATTGTTAAAAATTGCCCTACTGGGAGTTAGTAAGGGAATTAACACTAGTTTAATTGGTTGGTTATTTGCCTGGTTTGCTAATTAGCTTTTCGTGTTTCATATGGAGCCAAAGTGAAGTAAAATATTGTGCATTGTGTCTTCCAATTTCACAACACATCTTAACCTTTCTGAATTTTAAATAAAATTTAACCCATTTATACACTTGAGCCATGGTGTTATTCTCATTTGACAAAATAAATTAGCATCATTTAAATTAGGCAAATGGGCTATAAATATCAAGGAAAACATTTGAAGGACAGTTTTGTTTGTAGTTTTTTTTCGTTTTTTTTTAAATTTCAAAGTAATTTTGCTTATGCATATTTTATGGATAATATTATTCCAAGCTTTTTGATATTATTCTCAGATTTATTGTTGTAAATTGTGGATTATTAAAAAAAAAAGGCAGTAAAATATAAATTTCAACGTATTGTGAAGTGTCATTAACTTAATAGGTCCTAAAGCAAAACTTGTGAATCTAGTGTTTGGACTCCACCACATTTTTCTGTACCAGTTTTCGAACCGTGTTGTCGGCATAGGAAAACTGAAAGGCGATTAAGTTGCTGTTTTAAGATAACATATACATGGAAATTCCGCGTTTATTAATTATGATGCTAGTGCTGTTGGCTAATCGTCAACTTTCATTCATCTAAAGTATATCATGAAAATCTTATTGTTGTACGGGTAGGTTGAGTGGCTATCAGATGAACCTGTTAGCTTAGTGAGTAAGACAGGACTTACGAACATGGCTCTCATTGGATGAACGATCGAATTCCAAGAATACTAGTGCCAACGTGTCTCGGAAAGATTGGCGCCCAGGTTTTCAAAATATAACTTTACTTTTTTTCAACTTTAATCTGGCTTCTACCTATTTCGTTTCCTAAATATTATTGATTAGTAAAGTTTTCTTGTACATCGTACGATGAAAGCATTAACTTTCCTATGTACAACTTATCATAAACACTTTTGAGTTCCATTATCTGTTTAAACACTTCATCTGCGAATAAAATTTAATAAGATTTGTTCTTTGTTGATGATTTTTGCACAAATTGATCGAGGCTAGCCAACACCACCCACTACCAACTGTTGGGCTACTGTGGTCAAGTAATAGGGTTTGACCGTCTCTCGTAATATACTCCACAGTCCCTAAGTGTGGTGCGCGATTTTATTATTGTTATTGTAATTGAGCACGAACTACGGAAATTAGGATCAACAGTCCAGCACGCTAACCTGATAAAATAAAGCAAAATCTAGTAAAAATAACAATGGTGTTGATGAGCGTAGGATAATCATCAAAATACTGGTAGAAGATTTGAAAAAAAAAGTTTTATTAATCCCATAAGTTCTAGCTGGAATTTATTTTGTTTGTAGTTAAACACGAAGCTACTTAAAGGGCTATCTGTGCTCTGCTCACCGCGGGTATCGAAACCCGGTTTGTAGCGTTGTAAGTCCGCAGAAATGCCGCTGTGCCACTGGGAGGCTTGTTTGGTTGTATTTTCTTGGTCTACACCCAATAGCAAAATAACCAACTGACGATAAGGGGCGTGTCAAATAAATGGTAGAGAAACCTGAAATGTGTTTGTTTGAAGTTAAGCACAAAGCTACACAATGGGCTATCTGTGCTCTGGCCACCACGGTTTCTAGCGTTATAAGTCCGCAGACATACGACTGGGGGCCCTCAAATGTGAATAAGAGCGATAAATCTCGAAATATATTTAGCAGGAATTCGAAGTAAACACTATGTGGTTAGAAAAATATAACTTTACTTGAGAAAAGCAGAAATCTAAACACACACTTTATTTTTCAAGAAATCATCTATTTTCCTCGTGAACTGTATGTTGCTGGTTTTACTACTGCATGCCTCCTAGTATGCGGACTTACAACACTAGAAACCGGGTTTCGATACCCGTGGTGGGCAGAGCACAAATGGCCCTTTGTGTATCTTTGTGCTTAACTACAAACAAACAAACAAATACTACTGCACACAGCAACTTATTCCGTAAGTCAATCACCCTATTAAGAAGATAAAACTGGATTCTAGCCTG